AGTCAATAATGATGCAGTCATTAGCCTGGAAAACTAAGAAAGGGAGGGAAAAGGATACTGGTTTAGTTTTAGACCAATGTGAGATCCTATCAGATATGCCTGAGGTGTTGATCAAGCATCTGGTACATAAGCCAGAGTTCAAGAGAAAAAGCAAACCAATGAATTATTCTGTAGTAGCAGTAAAGCCAAGGAACTCTAAAAGACGACCTAAAGGATATAAAGTAGGAGAGAAAAGGTCATTAGCAGAGGAATAAAAAATGCCTCTATTTGTAGAGCAGGCAGAGGATGTTAATCAAAAAAGACCGAGAATAATCAGAAAGGATGAAGGATATCAGGATAGAGAGGAAACTCCATCTTATTTGATTATGGCAGAATAAGATCACTAGTTCTTCCTCTCTTAGCAATCATAAAAAAAAAAAAAAAGGCAAGATAAGCAGGAAGAACACCCCATCTTTGATGAAACTAGGACTGACATCTGAAGCCAGAGAACAGATGGGAAATCCACCAAAGTGGGACCCAGAAGGGATGTGGAAGGAAACAGAAAAAAATACCCACCCAGGGTTATAAACTCACAAAGAACTGTCAAGGCACATTTCTCCTAGGTGAAAGGGAGCCATTAAAAGGCCAAAGCAAAAATCCTTGTTTACAACAGTTGAAGCAGGGCACACAAACTGGTGGAGAGTATAAAGTTATCGCTCTCAAACTAATATATGATATTACTTGAAACCTTCCTTAAGTCCATGACCCATCCCCTACAGGATAAAGTTCAAGCTATTTAATATAATCCTCAGGACTAGATTTGGTTCCAAGAAGCAGAGAAGCCCAAACAGGAAATCACACAGAGAAACCATATTCAGAGAAAGCAGTCTCTGTGTGTCAGGGGCAATAAGAGACTTTGTACTGAACAGAACCACTGCAGCCTACAGGCTGTAGTCACGAAAATAAGCTCCACACAATCTTGAATCACGAGGAAAAAGTCCAGGTGGCTTTGCACACAACCCAAGAGAAAGTCTGCATAAAAATATTCACTAAGCACTGCCTGTACTAGCTGAAAATGGAAACCAACTAAATAGCCATCAATCAAAAAGTGGATAAATTCTGATACTAATCTAAGTAGATGGTATTGTAACATGTCTCAAAGAAATGCAGTACATAAATGTAACCACATAGTTAAGACTCAAAAACACATCATTGAACACAAAAAGCTACAAGATGATACACATAGTATGATGTCATTTACATAAAATGCATTAAAAACAATGTTATAAGCATATGTAATAACAACATATGAGTTGGGAGGAAAGGAATGGCACCTGAGGGGGGTGCTAAGGGACTTCACTATGCAACTATAATATTCCATCTCTTTTTTAAAAAATCTAAAATAACTATAGGAAAAATTTTAGGATTGACAAAACTGGATATTCACATGCTACCCTCTGTAAATTACCCTCCATGCTTGCCTTTGGGACACAGTAACGACATTGTGAGGAATCACAAACAAACCCAGGTGGAGAGACTTCACATAAAAACCCACATGGAGAGGAATTAAGGTGGCCAGGGTATAGCTAGCATCTTCTACCAGACACCTGCATGAACAAGCCTTCAGAAGATCCAGACTCAGCATTTAAATCTTCTAGCTGAAGCCCCACACATCACAAAACAGGACAAGCTGTCCCTGAGATCCAAACTCCTAATTTACTCCTGAGCACCAATGGTCATTTCATGCCACTACCTTTTGAGACAATTTGTTACAAAGGCACAGTAACCAGAACAACAAATATTACAATAAAATGAAAAGAAAAAATATTTCCAGTGCCTAGCATAAAGTCTCAGTCCTATTTGCTAAATTTCAAAATTGCTAACAGTTGTAAACTTACTTCAGTTTAATAATTTGTACAGCCTCTTACCTCCAAACTTCCAGAATGTGCTGCCCAATGTAAAGGGGTAAACTTATGGAGAATGTCTGCTTCATTTATGCTGGCTCCTCGTTCTATTATATCTGAAAGCTGCTTTACGTCTCCAGCCCGTACAGCATCATGTATGTTACCAAAATGCACTTTCTTCCGGGCACCTATGAAAATCAAATTAACGTATATCACAAAACTTAAAAAAAAAAAGAAAAAGACTAAAGCAATGATTCAACAGAAAGCACAAAATCACTTTGGCTTTCCAAACAATTTACTACAAAGATGTTTGTGATTAACATTTCAATCACACTTCCATTTCAGCTCTAACACATAAACAGCACAGAAGTTATCACTCCCATAGGTAAAGAAAAACCTGGACAAAAGGAAAATCAAACTTTTCTTGGATTCATCAGAGAACCAAGGTCTCAGAGCCAGTTGCCTCCCTGAGTCTGGAGAGACACACAAATACAGAGAAACACAAACAAGTTCAGCTTACCTGGAGCAAAAGCCACTGGAGCCATAAACTTCGAAGCACTGAAATGGTAATTTTGACAAACTGCTAGAGGCTGGGCAAGTATTAGACTATGAGTGTGAAACTCTCTGGGGCTACAGTCTTAGAAGGTCCCCACATTTTCATAGATTTTACCCCACCAGGGTAAATCCCACCAGGTTATCACTGTGAAAAGAAGAATCACTTCATGTCTTTGGCAGGGAAAAGGGGAAAGTAACCATTCTGAAATACACCCAGTGCATTCTCCACAAGAAAGGCCTACTCTCCAGTGATTTTACCAGAGCCCTATCTCACATAGGCTGATATATTCTACAATCTATTTTTCTTATCCTTCTCATATGTACTACACTAAGAAAGGTATGGCAGGTCACAATGTTTACCTTGTAACACTCCAGTGGTCTTATATTTTACAATTTAATGTTCCAAACATCAAGACTACATTGTGACTGTGAAATATTTTAATGTGTATCTTAAGCCAGAAGCAACAAAGGTACCTAAGCACGAACAGTTGTTGGAGGAGAAAGAAGTAGAGAGTTTTATCAAAGTATATCCTGAACAAAAAAAGCACAATTCCTGACCTCAAATGGTTTTTGAATTTTTGGTAGATAATCTATGCAATCTATACTACTATTTATCTATGTATATGTCCTTTCTCCACAACTTAAATGCTAATTTCTTGAGGGCTAGTATATCTTATATCACTCCTTAACAAAATGCTGCACATTTTACTCAAAAATCCTTTCTGAGCATCTACCATGTGCCAAGCACTGTCGTAATATCTTTCCCTGCCTACACCTTAACCCTTTCCTTATTCAATATTATCACAGTGCTTGGCAGGCAGAAGCTAAGACAGTGAACAGGATATAAGAAACCATACCACCTGGCCTCGAATGTTTGGGAGTATTTTTCTTTGGGGGCTATAATGTATCACAGAAAATGACTGAACCTCAAAAAATTAAGTCATTAAGGGTGTTATCAATAGTCCTTGCTCAAACCAAGATTGCACAAGAATCTCACAGCCACAAATTTCCCCGGTCAGTTCTCAATAACAGCACACGACCAGGGAAAAAAGCACCAGTGATGGCATCATCCAGGGGGAAATAACAGGATTTAAGGAGAGGACGGAAGAAAAGTTAACTAAGGGAAAGGGAGAGTCAATGGAGTGGAAGGAAGAAAACTAGGTAAGTCTAAAGTCATCTCCACAGGGTCAAATATTGCAGAGAAGCCACGAGTCTAACATTTAACAAGCGTTTATGTCAGTCTGGACTAGAAGTCTCAGGAATAGTGCAGGTGGAAAGAATGAGAGGAAAGCTGGAGTGAAGGAGGATGAGAAACAGGTGAGCTTTGGGACCCACTTAAAACAAGTCAATTAAGGGAAATTAGGAGTCACAGCTGAGAAAGGAAACTGCCAGAAAGGGCCAAAGCAGATGTGGATGAAATCAGAAAAGAGTGGCAGAGACAAAGGCAAGCGAAGCAGTCTGACTCACACGGGGTTGCACTCTCCCTAGAGGAGGTGGAAGGGCCTGAATCGGACACCCCTGGCATGGTGCGATCCCTCGGACTCGGGGGAGGACCTGAGTCCAGGCCCCCGCTGCTGCGGCGGTCTTCACTTGCTGTCACCCACGAGCCACTGCAGTGGCTGCCTTCGTCGTCGCTAAGATCGGGTACCCGATCCTCCCGGGTTTTCTCCCAAGAGTTCCTGCTGCGGAAGCCCTCGTCTATACGTTCTCTCTCCCAGAAGCCACGGAGGCAGCGGCTGGCGTCTACGCTGACGCTCACCCCGGAGGAGTCGCTAGCCGCGTAGCCGCGGTCTTCGCTTACTCCCTCCCAGGAATTACTGAGGCTGTGGCCGCCATCGACACTCCCTTCCTCCCAAGAGCCACTGAGGCGGCGTCTGCAGTAGTCACTGCCTCTGTCCCCGGAGTGACTGGGTTGGGGGTCCGGGACTACTCTGACACCCTCCCAAGAATCATTGAAGCACAGGCCGCGGTCTTCTCTGACCAATCCCTCGCAGTCACTAGTTTGGTGGCTCCCGACTTCACTTAAATTCACGTCGCTGCTGTTGAAGCTTTGGTCTCCCCTTACTCTCTCCCAGGACCTACTGTGACGGCGCCCACCGTCTCCCGTAACTCTCTCCCGAGAGACACTGCCCAGGTCTTCACTGACTCTTCTAGAGTCACTGCCGGAGAAACCGATGTCTTCACTTAGTCTTCTGCTAGAGTCCCTAGAGAGGTGAACAGCATCTTCACGGATTCTTTCCCTGTCTTCGCTGGGACTACAGTCCTGGTCTTCGCTAACTCTCTGCCTTAATTGGCCCCGGCGTTGGCCGTGTCGGCCGTTTATCCTCCACACGCGGTGGCTACTGAGGCGGCCGCCGTCTTCGGCTGCTACTCCCGGCGAGTCGCTCTGGCGGCGGCCGCCGTGGGCTAGTACCCTCTCCTCCAAGTTGCTTTCCAGCCTCCCGAAACCAGCCAACCTGGTGGAGGTGTGCAGGAGCCGCTGCCTTGGAAACGGGTAAACTTCCGGCGTGCTGCGGTCATTTCCTGTTCCTCACGGCCTTGCGTCACTTCCGGCTTCCCCTCTACCTTTTTCTAGGCTTCGCCTCTAGAGACGTCGGAGGGTGTTAAGGACCGGTTTTTGTGAAATTCCGTACGGCCTCACATCCAAATTATCTAGGCCCTTTTTCTCTAATGGCCTAGCATCCGTCGCGCTTTCCATGGCTCAACGAAGCAGGTTGGAGGTTCCAGGACTGCAGTTTGCGTAGGTGACCTGTGTCGCGCGGGCCGGGTGGGGCCTTTCTTCGTCCTTGACAAACCTAGTATAGTTTCTCAGTGCTCGCTGGAACATTGGAGGAAATATGTTCTTACCTTAGAGTTTCACAGGTGTGGAGAAAGACCCAAAGGAAAAGTTAGCAGCTGCAGCCGCTTTCATTATTAAATGCTTATTAGTGCCAGGCTCTTCGGTAATTGCTTGGTACTTAATTCTCAATAATTTTTGTAAGGTAGGTGTTGTCTCTGGTTTGTAGGTTAGCCGATTCAAGGTATCAGTAATTCGTTAAGGACAAACAGGTAAGTTACGGAACCAGTATAAACACAGGTCAATAGTCAAAAGACTGCCCCAGGGTTCCTGACTCCCAAATCCAAGGCTCCTTTTAATGTAAAATGTTCATTTTCAATAGTTTGGCCCAAATCTTCTTATCTAACCTTATTGCTTAACATATATTCTTCCATTCACTCTTTATTGAAAATAACCGGGTGGGGCCAGGGGCCGCGAGGCACTTGGGTGGCTCAGTTGGTAGAGTACGCGACTCTTGATCTCAGGGTGATAAGTTCCAGCCCCACGTTGGGCGTGGAGCCTTCTTAAAAGAAGAAGAAAATACATGGGTTGGATTTAGTGCTAGCAGCAGAGAATACAGTAGAATTCTTGGCCCTCCAAGGGTATCACCCACCTTAATTCCCCTTTCAACTTTTTTTTTTTCCCCTTTCCCCATCCTTCTTTCTTTGCCACAGGTTTTGTTCTTAAACACATTTGGGAAATTACCTTGACCCTATCTTATCTCTCTTGAAGTACTGTAAGTTGACTTTAACTTCCATAGCCTCTTGTAATAGTGGTAATCCTAATAATTGCCATTTGCTGAGTTCCTGTGAGTTTGACACTGTACTAAGTACTTTCTGTTAGTTTTGTTATTTAATCCTTAACATAACCTTTCGGAACCGTATTATTCTTCCTTTTTACAGATAGAGACAAAAAGCACCAAAGTTAATGCCTGAAGATTCACAGCTAGTAAGTATTAAGTACTTGAATTAGGTACCCAACCTAGATCTTTGATTTTTGCTGGACATAATTCTCAAAGTCTCTGAATTTCCACAGCCTTTATTAGACCACTTTTCACATTATTTTAAAATTACCTACTGAACAGTTGATCTTCACCCTGACTCCCCAAGGACTCTGAGCTTCTGGGAGGTAGGGACTGTATTTCTTGGTGTTCCTGACATTTGGAATACTTCGTTTGAGGGGAGAGCTTAGTAGCTGTGGTGTGGGTTAGCATGTGGCTTGATGGTCAGTTGTTTGTCGTGGATGAACTGAGAGAATGAAAATCATCTTTTTTTTTTTTTTTTTAAGATTTTATTTATTTATTTATTTGACAGATCACAAGTAGGCAGAGAGGCAGGCAAAGAGACAGGGGGAAGCAGGCTCCCTGCTGAGCAGAGAGCCCGATGTGGGGCTCAATCCCAGGACCCTGGGATCATGACCTGAGCCGAAGGCAGAGGCTTTAACCCACTGAGCCACCCAGGTGCCCCGAAAATCATCTCTTTTACAGCTGGGAGGGAATTTGGGATTAGTCATTCCAGTCTGCTTATTTTTAGAAATAGAGCAACTGAGGTATTTTGTCTTATCAGACATGGATTGAGTTATTTTAATAGGGGCCAGTTTCTATGCTAAATGATTTACAAATAGTTTCAGACTTAATCTGTATTATTCTGTTTTTACAGATGAAGAAACTGCTCACATTTGGCCAAGATCACATAATAGGAGGTGGGGAATTGGAACCCACTCTGACTGACTCCAAATTAATAGAGAGTTTGTAGCCACTTACATAATAATGGTAAAGGTTTCATTTGTTGCTATATGGGTAAATTCAGTGAGGGTCAGCACATCCTTAAAGGATGCACAAATGGCAGGAAGGATCAGAAAAGAAAACCAAAATAGCAGAGAAGCAGAAAAAAGAAAATCTCCCAAAATAAACGTAAAGGAATAAAAATAAGATATTCATGAAATAGAAAATAAAATTGATAATAATGCCTTCTGTTTGAAAAGAACAATAAATAGACACTTAGCAAATCTAAAGAAGAAAAGGGAAGAAAACGATATTTGGAAAAAAGGGAACATATTACAGATAAGAGGGACTTCCAAAATTGGAAGTGAATCTAGAATAGCCTTATACAGATAATCTTGAAAATTGACCTGGACAATTTTCTAGGAAAATAGAGATTCCAAAAAATTGGCTTTCTAGTTAGAAAACCTTAATGAACTGATAATCATGAAAGAATGCCCTATATATCCCTGACGAAGGTCACCAGGAACAAAACAGAGAGAAAAATGGGAGTGTGTCCCAACTATGAAAGGAGCATAACTATAGCAGAATCTAAAAGATAGTAAAATAAAATATAGCTCAGTCTCACTTAAAAATACATGCAAAAAAAAAAAAAAAAAACTAAGGAAACTGTGACCCAGCAGTGCATTTAGAGAATAATGTCATAACCAAGTTGGGTTAATCTTACCTGTACAAGGATGGTCAACATTAGACAAGTAATGAAAATGTTCTACATTAGTAGATAAAGGAGAAAAACTATATGACTTTAATTGATACTGAAAAAACACTTGAGAAATTAACATTACTGATTTTTTTAAAAATACAATTTATATTAAGTAACAAAAGGAAGTTTGCTTAAGTGGAGGAAGGGTATCAACCAGCAGTAAACAAACTTAATTTTATGATCCAGGTTATATCTTCTGTCATTCATACAATTCAACATTGTTCTGAGAATTTTGGATCCAGTATAGTAGTAATAAGTGAACTAAGGTATGAAATTAGAAAGGAAGAAATTAAGATAAATTATATTGTTTGCCTGGAAAATCAATAAGACAGCATTGTCAGGAAGATGGTAAGCTCTCAGCAAGATACAGATGATTTTTTATAAACTATATAATTAACTTTTAAATGTAAAGAACTCATATTAGCACTGACAATGGTGAAACATTCTAGAAATCTATCAAGAAATAAGCCAAACCTACATTAAAAATCCGTAAAACTTTATGTATATTACAGAAGATTAGAATAAATGGAAAGATATGCTTTGTCCCTAGGTGAGTAGGCTCAGTGTTTAAAGATCAGATTCTCCTCAGATTATAAATTTGTTGCATTTCAATTAAAAATTCTAACAATTTTTAATGGAGAAAAACACGATTTTTTTTTAAGATTTTATTTAATTATTTGACAGATCGAAAGTAGGCAGAGAGGCAGGCAGAGGGGGAGGGAAAAGGAGGCTCCCTGCTGAGCAGAGAGCCCAATGTGGGGCTTGATCCCAGGACCCTGAGACCATGACCTGAGCCAAAGGCAGAGGCTTTAACCCACTGAGCCACCCAGGCACTCCACAAGATGATTTTTTATCTCAAAGAATGTAGGTGCAAGATTAACCAAAATTTTTTTTTAAAATAAGAATGAGAACTCACCCAAATACCCATCAGAACTACAAAGCTAGGGTATGTATAACAGGGAGGTGACTGGAATAGGACTGGACAAGTAGTGGAACAAACTCGAATTCAGAAATATATGTATACACTTATTATAGCAGTAGCATTTCAAATAGAGAAATGTAAGCTCTTCATTTTCATGTGCAGAAATTTCAGTTTTAAAGATACTATCAAAGTGCTAGAAGGAAATACAGGAATTTGTTGTTTATATCTTACGAAGTCCTTCCTAAGCAATACAAGCCCCAGAGATCACAGAGAAAACATAAACATTTAAAAGTACATTACCATGAAGTTTAGACCAGAGGTAGACAATGTTTATTATCAAGTCTGAGAAAGAGTAACTCTAGAAAAACTAATGAACAAAAGTGATGAAAAATACCAAAAGCAAGTACACCTGAAACTAATAAATGTACGTCAACTGTACTTCAGTTTGGGGGGGGGGAATGAACAAAATTTATTGAACTCATTAGGAATACTCTGCACAGCACTATGATAAAAACTAAAAGATGGATAGAGTGCTAAAAGAGGTCTGAAGACCCTGCTGGTGAGAGATTAAATTGGAATGACCCAGGAAGGACAATTTGGCAGTATCTGTCGAAACTCTAAACATACATTACCCTTCAGTCAGAAACTATCCAGTTGTAAAATCTTCAAAATAACATTCTGTTGTAGTAGGATAGTCATTGCAAAGTGTTATGGTTGTAAAAGGACACTTTTCACTTCAGTGAAACAGTGCTGAATTGTGCTACATGCCTATGAAATATTATGCAGTTATAGAAATGAGATCTACATTATTAACATGGAAAAAGATAAAGTGAATGAAAAAAGGCAATATATATGCAATCTCATTTAGTTTTTTAAAGTTTTTTTTTTCAAAGAATCTAGATTAACTCAGTATAGAACAAGAAAGATGTAAAAGACGATTTTCTATATTTTTTTAATTTTACAAAAATTCTAAAAATACAGAAGCACAGGAAAAAATGTATTGTTGTATAAAGCAAAAGAAGGTGTTTCTAAGGAGTACGTGGGTCAGGAAAGATTAAGAAGCTAAGAAAAACACTGGTTTTGGCAGTGTTTGGCACTGGTTTGGCAGTTACCAATTACTGGTAACACTCAGAGGAGTCAAGATATAAAAACCCCAGATGCACAGGATGTCAAGGTAAGTGAGGAACTGACTGAAGGAAATGTCTCATGTGAACCATTCCAGAACACACTGAAGTGGGAATCTTGGCATTCTAGAGAAATGGAGCTCTTTGTAAGTGGGAAACTTAAGGTTCCCCCTCTCAGTTTTTCCAGAGGGCTCTGCCTAAATCCCCCATAAATCAGCTCTTTGCATTTAGTTCCAGAGGAGGGAGCGGGGCCAACCCCAGGCCAAAAATTCAATTAAATGTGTTTTGGTAACCAACTTCCTTAGGCCTAAATAGCTACTCTCCTCTTGCTTCCCAGGCATTCTTGCTCTCCTTTTGATGGACACCTCTCCAAACTTTCACCCCGCACGTGCTTTTTTGCTCTTGTTTAACTTGCTCTTTCCCACCTGCACAACTCTGTATAGGATTAGGAGAAAACCCTACTTGTAGATAAGTGCAGGCCCCCCCCCTTTTTTTTTTACAATAGCTTGACTCCATTTCTACCTCCAGATTATCTCTTCTTTGCTAAAAACTTTTCACTTGCCAGCACAGTGAGATGCCATGTATTTTTCTGAATATTTTTGTATAAACTTCTTGTAGTATTTAGTAGTTGCTAAACAGGTTGTAAACAAAGTTTGGGAAAACAAAACGAATTGTCTATTTTGGGTTTAGTTTTTACTTGAAAATCTGAATTTTTATTATATAGGTTTTTTTTTCTGAAGCTTATTTTTAGCTAAGTAACAGATAACTTCGGTTTAACTTTACTGTTCTGGAAAAACTTCTAAGTTTTAAGTAAGCAGATTATGTTAAAATCAGAACATAGAGGGTACAATGAAATTTTCAGGTTTTGGGAAATGTTTTAGTTCTCACAAACTTCAGCTCTTCAAAAAATATTTCATCTTACATGAGGCTTGCTTGGGTTTTCCTTGCTACACTTTCCAGTGTAGATTACTTACTAGTTTTAATTCCCATTGATATGTGTTGACTATTACTTTTCCATCTTTTAGGACTACAAAGTCATTGTTTCTACATCAGTTATCAGATCTAGCTATTCATTTAAGTTACCCAAGGGATTTTTAAAGTTCAGATGTAATTGACATTATTTGCATGTTGGAGCTTTCTAAATGGTAGAGGGATCTCAAGAGTTTGCTAAATGAGACCCTTCAGAGACCATCTGTTAATAATTGCTGATGGTAATGCAGTGAAATTTGGGGGCCACACATCTAAATCACTGCCCAGTATCCAACCTCCTACCTCAAAGAAAAACTAGGAATTGGATTTTCAGTTCCAACTATTAAGTACCTGTGATCATCTCAGAGGAAGTATTACCCCTCTGCCACTTCAAAGCTAATTCCTTTTGTGCTATTGATAAATCTCTGG